TAAAATCTTTTTGAGTACAAGTTCCCCTTCTCGGAATTCTCGGACACGAACTTTCTTGTCAAAAGCCCTCTTGATCCTCTTCTGATATAACTGACCATGACACATCGCAGACATGTGTTTTTCGTCGATAAGATTCAACTATTCAAACCTTTCTCTCACCCATTCTGCTTCTTCAAGCTTGGTTTCCATTATGACTCTCAAAGAAGGTATCTCGACCTCAATAGGAAGTACCGCATCCATTCCATATACCAAAGAAAAAGGGGTTGCCCCTGTTGAAGTGCGGACGGACGTTCTGTATCCATGCAAAGCAAATGGCAGCATCTCATGCCAATCTTTGTAAGTTTTCACCATCTTTTGCAAAATCTTTTTGATGTTTTTATTTGCAGCTTCTACAGCTCCATTCATCTTGGGACGATAAGGAGAAGAATTGTGATGTTCAATTTTGAAGTCATCGCACAACTCTTTCATGACTTTGTTTTTCAAATTAGTACCATTGTCCGTTATGATTCGGCTCGGGATTCCGTAACGACAGATAATCTCCTTTTTTATGAAACGGGCCACCACCTGCCGAGTAACATTAGTGTAGGATGCAGCTTCAACCCACTTTGTGAAATAGTCAATGGAAACCAAAATAAATCGGTGTCTGTTAGAAGCTTTTGGTTCAATTGCCCCCAATCATATCGATGCCCCACATAGAGAAAGGTCACGGTGATGACAACACATTTAGCAACGTTGGAGGTACATGCATCTTGTCTGCATAAATCTGACACTTGTGACACTTTCTGGCATATTGAATACAGTCAGTTTCTAAGGTCAACCAGTAATAACCAGCCCTCAAAATCTTTTTAGACATAGCATATCCATTGGCATGAGTACCGAACATTCCTTCATGAATATCTTGCATTAACAACTCTGCTTCTCGTCGGTCAACACATCTAAGCAGGACCATATCATGATTCCTTTTGTAAAGCACATCATTGCTGAGAAAGAACTTGGATGCTAATCGTCTCAGAGTTTTCTTGTCAAGTGATGTAGCATCGGTTGGATACTCTTGTTTCAACAGGTAATTCTTTATGTCATAGAACCATGGCTTATCATCAGTTTCTTCTTCAACCATTTGATAGTAGGCGGGCTCAGTCTTGCGTTTGATTCGGATGAGAGTGGGATCATTGACATTCCTGACTTTCCACATTGAGGCTAACATGGCTAGGGCATCGACAATGTGATTCTCAGATCTCGGAACATGCTTGAAAGTGATTTCATCAAAATACTCCATCATTTTGACAATATAGGCTCTATAAGGGATTAAATTCTCATGTCTAGTTTCCCATTCTCCAGTAACCTGATAGATAACCAATGTTGAATCCCCACTGACTTCAAGAAGTTTGATTTTGAGGTCAATAGCTGCCTCGAGGCCGAGAATCCAGGCTTCATATTCAGCGATATTGTTTGTGCAGTCAAAATCCAACCTGGCCGTGAATGGAGTGTAACCACCTTCCGGATTCATTAAAACAGCGCCTACGCCATGTCCACTGTAGTTGGAAGAACCATCGAACATCATTTTCCACCAAAGACCTTTCGGCGGACCCTCATCAAGACTTGGTTCTTCATAATCTTTTACTAACATAATGTCCTCATCTGGGAAATCAAATTTGAGAGACACATAATCTTCCACTGGTTGATCCGCAAGATATTCTGACAAAACATTACCCTTGATAGACTTCTGAGCTACATACTGGATGTCGTATTCTGATAATAACATATGCCAACGGGCGAGTCTTCCAGTCTGAGCAGGCTTCTCAAAAATATACTTTATTGGATCCATTTTTGAAATCAACAAAGTGGTATGACAAATCATGTATTGCCTCAAACGTTTGGCCGTCCATGCCAAAGCACAACAAGTTTTCTCCAGAAGTGAATATCGGCATTCACAATCAGTAAACTTCTTACTCAAATAATAGATCGCATACTCTTTTCATCCAGACTCGTTCTGCTGACCTAACACACAACCCATTGAATTCTCAAGCACTGTCAAATACATGAAGAGAGGTCTTCCTGGAATAGGAGGTATTAAGATTGGAGGCTCTTGAAGGTAACCCTTGATCTTATCAAATGCCTGCTGACAGTCTGCATTCCAAATAACCGTTTGGTCCTTGCGTAATAATTTGAAGATGGGCTCGCAAGTGGGAGTCATATTGGAAATAAATCTGGATATGTAGTTCAATCTTCCAAGAAAACCTCTGACTTGCTTTTCTATTTGTGGAGCTGGCATGTCTTGAATGGTTCGTACTTTGTCTGGATCTACTTCAATCCCTCGGTGGCTGACAATGAAACCGAGTAATTGTCATACCCCAAATTTGTCCTACCCCCCCTCTCGCTCTTGTATCAAACATCCGTGGGGATTCATGCCTTTTCTCTAAATAATCACCCGGCCTCTGACCATGATATTTTGAAGTGTGGATTAATAAGGGTCTTGTTGGCGCTCTCTGTGGTTACTAAACTCTTGCCAAAATGATGGTTTCAGATAAGTTTATGATGCGAGAAGATTCAAGATAAGGTCAATTGATTTCAAAATAATTTTAAGCCTCATTTCAATTGATTCTCAAGTCGTTTTTTTGGGATATGCCTTTCAAAATCAGAATAAAGTTCAAGCTAATATGTTATGCCATGGGGGTAAGTGGTAGACCCCAATTCTTTATTTATGATCTTAAAAATAATCCAGTTAGAGGATTTAAACTCTCAAGTGACATCAAGATCATGCGTAAAGGGCCAAACTGTGTTTATCAAGCTATAATGTAAACGAGTCCAAGACCATGATTAAGGTTTCTACTTCAAGGACTGCCTTCAGGCCTGATATGCCATGGGAAATATGCCTCGGTTATTATTGTGAATTAGTTGTGAGATTATCAAAACTCTTTTAAGTTTTCATGACTTGATAAACAATTTGTTGGAGATCATTTGTTAGAGATCATTGCCTTCAAGGCACGGACAGTCATTGAGCCATGAGCCATTTTAGCTTTTGGCACTTCTAGAGTCTAGATGTATTATGAACAATATACCTTATTCCAATGCAGAAAAAGAAAGCTAAGAAACTTTTTTGGAAACTATTACATGGTTTGGAGTTTAAAATAAAAGTCCCTTAGGACATGGCACTGCAGAATATTCAAGGCTTGGATTACTCCAAATAAGTTGTAAATACAACATTGAACAAGGAAAGTAATTGTTACATATCTTCTCATGGTTCAAAATATATACAAGTTATAAAGTGGAAAAGTGAACTTCATTCATAACAGAATTACAAAGCAGTGAGTAGGTTCACAACAAATCAAAAAATGCTACCCTGCTACAAGTTCTATCAATAGTGGGAACCACATCTTTCCTTCACGTACAATAAGTACATCATCATAATACATAAGCCCTCTCTAATACACTGAGAATTGGCACCAAAATAACAACACAGGTAGTACAACGTTTTGCTCCACGCCAGACAAAGCTCTGCTACACAACCAGCAACATAAACAAACAAAAGACAAGCTCTGCAACCAGCCCACACTATTGTGCTCAACACACCAGACAAAACCTGCGAACAGCAGCTACCACTACCCTCCAAATGTACCGAAACTGCTACCCTTCCTACAGCCTGCATAACCTGTACAAAAGGGAGGTCACAGAGCAGAAAAAAAAAAAGACCGGGGATATTCATTTTAACCTTAACCTCTCTGCCTGCTTCACAACATCACACCTTTGATCTTCCTATTGAGGCCATTATCTTCACTCAACCTCACAAGTTGCCAAAACCTGTCACAAACCAATAAACTCCCAAACTCTTCACAAACAACAGGGCTCCTGTTGCTGCATCGGGAAAACTCATGACAGTTGAACATAATTCCAAAAATTTCCTTGTCAAAAAACCTATGAGATAACTACAAGCCTCCTGAGAAAACGGGACAGTCATCGAAGCCTCACAAGAATCATATCCAAATCAGCTTCCAAACTGAAAAGATCACAAAACAGATGTTGCTTCAATATCAAAGCCTCACTCCATAAAGCCATGAACCTTCAACACTTCAAAAGGAGAGAACCTGCTAACCTCAAAGAAAAAGGAACAGCCTTGATTTGCTGCTGTTATAATAAATCCTTTCTTTTACAAATCATTTTCTGAATATAACCACAGAACAATGGAAGAAGGATATGATTGAAAATGAAGGAAAGCTACAATACCGTAAGCCTCATTGAAGCCACCACCGTGAACCGCCTCTAGGCCCTTTCTCAGTCGCATCCTTCATTCACCATCCACCCTGAAACAATAACCACAAGCCCTTTTCAGTATAAGAAAATCAAACAAAGCATAAAAGAGAAATAGAAGCGCGAGAAGGAAAACAATAAGGGAGTCAAGTTTAGAAACATCACCCAAACTCCTCGTTGCTGGTGCAGGAACTTGTCGGATTCCCTCTAACGCTGTAAGCATTCTATCTTTTTTTTCTGTCTTCATAATCTTAAGCTGTTGGTTGATTTGTTTTCCTGGCGGTGAGATTTCGAGAGAGAATAAGAGCATAAAGAGGCTCTTCAGAGAGCCAAACCTTCGTGAGGTGTTTCTCTTAACACAGAAAAAAACAACCTTTATTTTCCCTCTTCTATAATAACAACGACCATTGATTCACCATCATCTTGTAACAGTAGAAATCAAAATCCATACAACCAAAACCACCACTGAAAATACTTTCGAATCACCCTCTAAACCATAATCCAACATAAATCAACATTTACAGTAATAAAAAACAACCTTGCAGCTGTGTGGTTTCAATTGCCCTTCCGTATGAAGCCAACGAGATCCCTTCAATGAACTCACTTCACCCTCAACTTTTATTCCCAGCTCTCATACAACACTCACAAATTCCATAGCCTTCTTATTTTCGACACCGTCGTCGACATCAACTTTGAGCATCAATGCGACCACTTTGGAACCAACCTAAATCCTCTTGTTCAACCACCTTGCACTAATGGTAGGAGTAGCATTCGATGTCGGAGCCGTTCCTTTCAACCCAGACGGATGGGGCCCAATGGATTCCACCACCGCCGCTAACAACAACAACGACCTCCCTCTCAACGTCCCCTTCGCCCCTTTCTCCCGCTCCGACAAACTAGGTCGAATCGCCGATTGGACTCGCAACTTCAACAACCAGACCCGATCCAAAAACCCTGCTGATTCCGCCTTCGATTTCACCCTCGACGATTCCTTCCCAGGCAACGCCGATGACGATGCCACATTCCGCCTCGTTGATGGCAAACCACCACCGCGTCCCAAATTCGGCCCCAAATGGAGATACCAGCAACAACGACAACTTCCTCAACGTCGCGATGAGGAAGTCGAAGCAAAGAAACGTGAGGCGGAGAAGGAGAGAGCTCGTCGCGATAGGCTTTATCATCAGAATCGTTCAAACCCTAATAATCCTCGCCGTGAAGCTGCGGTTTGCAAATCGTCGGTTGATATTCAGCCGGAGTGGAATATGCATGATCAGATCCCGTTTTCGACTTTCACCAAGCTATCCTACAATGTTCCTGAGCCTGAAGATCTTCTCCTATGTGGTGCTCTTGAGAATTATAATCCCAGCTTCTCTTCTTTTTTATTTGTGTTATATTTTTTTATTTATTAATTTAAATTTAGTGATTTGTTAATAATATTAATATTTATTTTATTATAATTTAATATTTTAGTTTTGTTAATAACTTTTTGTAAATAGGTTATAATTTCTTCTTTTTATAATATATTATACTTTTTATAGAAGTCTTTTATTCTATTTCTTTTAGATTTCTATTTTATTTATATTAGGGTTTATTACTTTTTTTATTTTAGAGTTATCTTATTCTTCTTTTGTTATTGGGCATTTTGTCCCATTTCTCTTTTTGGTCGATGACGAGACCTCCGTAATTCATTACCAGTCAAATTATTGATAGGTAATGTTGGATCTGAGACCACCTCTTTTCTCTCTTCATTACTTGTCCCGACTCGATTCAAAAACTTTGTCAAACAATTTTCAAAATCAAATTATCTTTGTATTGAATTAAAAAGAGGGGATTAAGTGTAGACTTTCTTCCTCTCCGAGTGTTGGGATGCCCACTGTAGTGAGGGTGGTTCTGACACTCGTTTTTCAATACGAAGACGCTTCCCGTCCATGTTCGAGTCTCATCTCCTTAAAATCATTCCTTTGTGTTGAGCTAAAAGAGGATTGGGTGTAGACCTCTTCTTCTTCGAGCATAGGGATGCCCACTGTAGTGAGGGTGGTCTCGATGATCGGCTGTCAATACAAAGGTGCTTCCAACATTTCCTCATAAAACCTCGGTCTCGTACCGAGTCTACTTTCTTTAAAATAAACTTCTCTTTGTATTGAACTAAAAAGAGAGGATTGGGTGTAGACCTCTTCTTCTTCGAGTGTTGGGATGCCCACTGTAGTGAGGGTGGTCTCGATACTCATCTTTCAATACGAAGATGCGACTTTGTCCACCACCATCTCGCTTTCACAACTTTATCCTGCAACCCTTTTCACACCTAAAACCTCGGTCCTGCACCGAGTGCATTTTCAAATCATTTTCTCAACAAAAACTTGAATGGTCGTGGAGTGGTTAGGCGTAGGCCTTCTCCTATCCCGAGTGCTGACGTTTACCGTAGGGTTCTCTGTCGCAAAGCACTTACCATTCAAAACCTAAATCATCGTTAATAAGAGAATGAAGTTCTCTTCGCATTGAATTAAAGAGAGAGGATTAAGTGTAGTCTTCTTCCTCTCCGAGTGTTGGGATGCCCACTGTAGTGAGGGTGGTTTCGACGCTCGTCTTTCAATACGAAGACGCCTCGTTCGCCACACCTTTTTATAACAAAAGCTTTGAGACAAAGAATTGGGTACTACCCGTAGGGGTTACTATCCGAGGACATGTATTTCCCCCTAAAAAAACAATCCAATCAATCAAATGCGACTTCTAGCCCTGCGTGGCGAAAACTAATCAATCTTTCAAAAAGGATATGCTACGACCGTTCTACCGCAAACAGGTAACGCCTAAGTCTCCGACGAGCGAGCAGCAAAACACCTAACTGCTAGAATGCGCACGATAGCATCATCCATAAAAAACATCAACACACCGTAGGCCGAACTACGGCTGCTCTGATTCTTTACTTTTTCAAGTAAAGATACGTAGGCACAAGGGCCACAATCCTTGCCGAGCACATTCACCCCATATCTGTAGTTTCCCGAACTACGTCGACTCTGACTTTCTCATATCTATTGGGAATACGTAGGCATAGGACTGCGAAGTCCTACCGAGTCTGCTCTTTCTATTTTCTTCCCCGTTCTCTCTTTCCTCCTAACTTTCCTGTTTCTGACCCTTATCTTTTACCCTGTGAAACACTTTTATAGCATAATATTTAAGCAAATAAATTCACACATCGACAAACAAAAGGTTCCCATCGAGTACGATGGATGCGAGGGGTGCTAATACCTTCCCCTCGCATAACCGGCTTCCGAACCCGTTCATGGTTGCGAGACCATCTTATCCATTTTTTTCTCAAGGTTTTCTCGATATTTTCCTTTCCCCTCATGGGATAAATAAAGTTCGGTGGCGACTCTTCTGTCTATCTTTTTCGCCTCCCCGTCGTTGCGCGATGCATTTTTCGAGTAGCGCCAGCTGGCGACTCTGCTGGGGACCCTAGCAAGCCAAGCCTATTTTGTTTATCGTATTTGTGTTTTATTTGCTTTATTTGTTTATGCTTTGATTCTCTAACCTGTTGGGTTTATTGGATGGTTTGTGAGATAAAGTTTTCTACCCGAGCTTTCGAGTATACACTAAGATTAGGAGGTGGTTTCTTTCTGATTTGCGAGACTTAGGACTCGTTGAGTTGGATCGAATCCCACCGCTCAGATAGACCCCTTTGGGATGATTATGTCTTACGTGTAGTCGTAATGACTTTTTTATTTCCAACTTGGGAGTCCGTGACTCTGAGGGCCTTTTAGAACCTTATTCCAAAGGTTGCTGAGACATGACTCTGTGTTCATCCTTTGAAGGGATTACCGTCTTACGAGTAGTCGTTACGATGGAAAACTTTCGAGGGCTAGTGCATGGGACTTTGTTTAAAAAACCTTTGGGATGCCCTCTTACAAACCAATAGATAACCCACCCGAGGGGAGAGATACCTTTTGTTGTTGTGCAGGATGTATGACTTAGATCCTTGATATGGATCTGTTCTCGTATGCGCTCATTGCATTGCATTTGCATAAGCATCTCTGCATCATTTCTTGCATTCCTTACAGCCCGTTCTTACACGCCGCTTACCCTTTCAGAAAGAGTAAAGCAAGCTGACTTCGCGGCATCGGTATAACACCAGGAATAGCCAGAAGAGAATCATGGATCAGATAGAGCAGGACCAGGCTACGATGAGAAGCGAGATGCTAGGCATGAAAACGCAAATGAATCAACTCATGGAGGTGATTCAGAATATGGCCAGAAGTCAAGAGGAGATGAGACAAGCAGCAGAGAGGAGCGCTAATCAGACTTTGGCTGGTGCAGTTCCCAATGCAAGTGGTGCAATTCCAATTCCTGCGGGTTCCACCCCAACCCCTGTTGGGGCAATTCCTACTTCTGCCGGCGCCGTACCTATCAACACCGTCCCTCCGCCAGTCGGTACTACTCATCCTCATGGTACTACGATCCCAACACAAGTCCAGTACGACGATCATGAAGGTTTCTATGAGAATTCAGGTGAAGCGTATGGATCACAGACCGCCGAATTAGAGAAGAAGTTTAATGCTTTACAGGAGATGGTGAAAACATTGCAAGGCCCCGATGTTTTGGGACTGGATGCCGCTGAAATATGTCTTGTACCCGGAGTTAAGATACCTCCAAAGTTTGTAATTCCAACCTTTGAGAAGTACAAGGGTAACAGTTGTCCTAAGACCCACATAAGATCTTACTGTAGGAAGATGGCCGCCTATTCTGATGACGAGAAGCTACTAATCCATTTCTTTCAAGATAGCTTAACAGAGGCATCCCTGGAATGGTATATGCACCTTGAACGATCCAACGTAAGAAGCTGGAAAGAGTTGGCAGACGCTTTCGTGAAGCATTATCAGTATAATACTGACATGGCTCCGAATCGTATGCAGCTTCAGAATTTGACTCAGAAGCCGAATGAGTGTTTTAAGGACTTCGCACAAAGATGGAGGGGAGTAGCTGCAAGGGTACAACCTCCACTGATGGAGAAAGAACTGACAGACCTATTCATGGGCACGCTACAAGGACCGATCTTTGAGCGGTTAGCATCCTCAACATCCACAGTGTTTTCTGAACATGTTATGGCTGGGGAGAGATTAGAGAGTTTCATGAAGGCGGGAAAAATTCAGAATGCAGGCGAATCTGCAAGTGGGGTCAAGAAGCCTTATCAGGGTTTCGTTAAGAAAAGGGAAGGCGAAGCTAGTGCAGTGTTCACCAACAGAGGAAGAACTCATCAGGGTTATCACCATGTTGCTGCTGTCGCTCCACAACAGCCGTTGTCCATTCCAGCAAATCAACCCGTGTTTCAACCAAACAGGCAACAACAATCCTATCAACCAAGACAAAATCAATACCAGGGTCTACAAAGACAGAGGAGGCCAGAAAGAATATTTGATCCAATCCCGTCTACATACGCCAAGTTATTGCCATTCCTATTGAAAGGAGGTCTCGTTCAGCTTAGGGAAATGAGGGATCCTCCGGAGATTCTTCCTTTTGGATTTGATGTCAATGCCAAATGTGAATTCCATTCTGGCTCCCCAGGCCATGACATTGAAAATTGCAAGACTCTGAAGCACCTTGTACAAGATCTCCTCGATTCGAAGGCGATAAACTTTACCCGAAATACCCCCAAACATCAAAACTAATCCAATGTCAGCTCATCACTCAACAAATATGATTGAAGAATCCTGTGGTCATCTCCAAAATCCAGTGGTCCAAGCTGGCAGACATCTTCAACATTAGCAGTCCTTAGATGCTTTTCTCATTTGCATTTGTAATTTATTTTCTGTCAATTGCTACTTGTTATTTAAACATTGTTATGTTGAATGGTAACATTAATGAAATGATTATGCGTTTTCCGAATTAATTATGTCGCATTCGCTCATTATTTCCACCTATCACAATCACAGACACATATATTTTTATCCACTCCACTGTTTCACTGTTGTTTAGCAATATTGGAGGGAGGATGACGAAAACGAAGTACCCATAATTGCAAATCGTATGCTTTCAGACAAAATCTCGTCAATGATGTACAGGCATTGTTTCAAATCCCCTAAACACCGAAGATATAAGGAGTTAATCCCTAGTCAACCACTTCGAGCCTAGAAGTAGGAGTTTCCTTCGGATATTCAAACCCTTAACACTCAACCTGGGGCAGGGTAATGTTCAGTTAATCTAATCTAGCATTCGAATCGATAAAGCAGAATCCAAAGACATGACGGTTGTTCATCAATGTCTCATGACATGGCAGTCACCATCCGCCAACAAAATAAAAAAAAATCAAAAGCCTGCTAAGTCAAGCATTTCAAAGGAGACTTAGGCAAGAATCAGGGCAATCCCGATGGATCTGACAAGCAAAATCAATCCATGCAAAAGTTAGGGATCAAAATCAAAA